TTTTTTTTTTTTTTTTTAAAAAAAAAAAAAAAAAAAAAAAAAAAAGGGGGGCCGGCCCGGTGGCGCACTGGATAGTGCGCCGCTTGGGAAGCGCGGCAGGGCTCCCGTCCAAGGGTTCGGATCCCACATACAGACCAGTTCGGCTGAGCAAGGCGCGGGAGCGACACCGAGGGTTGCGGTCCCGTTGCCGGTCCCCGGGCCGGTACGGGGGCAACACTGAGCGTTGCGATCCGTTGCCGGACACGGAAAAAAGACAAAAAAAAAAAAGAAAAATTATTTTTTGAATGATTTATACCTTCCAGGACAGATCCGTGGATTCTAATTAGCAGCAGAGGCCAGTTTTGGAGTCTGAAAGTCATTTTTTATTTAAATCGCAGGAGCTATAAAAATACAAAAATAAAAATTTTATTTATTTATTTTTTATTTATTTATTTTTTTAAAGATGACCGGTAAGGGGATCTTAACCCTTGACTTGGTGTTGTCAGCACCACGCTCAGCCAGTGAGCGAACCGGCCATCCCTATATGGGATCCGAACCCGGGGCCTTGGTGTTATCAGCACCGCACTCTCCCGAGTGAGCCACGGGCCGGCCCAAAAATTTTTTTTAAATAACTAATATGCCATCCAGGAATATTTAATCTCACTGAGATGGACCGCAAGTAAGATTCAGGTCGGGATGCTGATGACTTTGGTGTTGCACAAAGCAGAGCCAAGGATGCTCTTGAGAGGGATAAGGAGACTACAGCCCATGCCTGCTCCTAGACAGCATTCTACCAGGAAAAGGGCAGGTGGGGGGCAGGAACACCCTCAATTGTAGCTAAAACCCAAGGTTAGGGAAGCATGCACCGTTGGAAGAGAGGGTAGACTTCTGTGTCGTTAGACAGGTGGTGCTAGGACCAGCTGAAGAGACGGGAAGGCAGATTGGCTTTTCTATAAATGCAAAGGGAGTTTATACATCAAACAATTTATAATTCACATCAAACAATTTATAATTCACATTGTAATGATGTTCATCAAATGTTAACAATGCTCATTTTGATGTCAGAATTTTAGCTGATGTTTAATTTCTTCTCTATATTTCTTTATCTTAGTGTGTGTTATTTCTAGAAAACAATAAAGTCATTAGTCTTTTTTAAGTCTCTGTTAGATATATCTGGTCTCCAAAGTCTTAATTCAGCTACTGAAATACCTCTACACTTTTTTCTTCTCTCAACTGTCACACAAGAGGATTTAGTTCATCGTGAGCTTTATAATTGATAGAAAAACTCATCTCCAAGCTCAACAAAACAAAGGACCCCCCATTCAATAAGATGCACCCTCTTTAGATGGCAGTTTAAGGGGCAAGCCCTTTTGTCCATTAACAAAAATGATTCCTTCACAAGAATTTCTGATTATTGGAATATGTCCAGCAATGTAACATCACTAGTTTGTTTAGAGACTTCTCCACAATCTGACTCCAACTCTTTACCATTCTGGGTGAGCTGCTGTGGGTTTACCCTAGTTTGTCAACATCCCTTTGACAACCTGCCTACCTACCTGGAGCAGAATTGTCTAGGTGCAGTCTGAGGAGTGCAGGGAGCGGGCGACTGTCACCTCCCTGGTATGTCACCCAATTGGCTGTTATAGAACTTGTGGCTGCATATACAACCCCTCCCTCCACCCTCATAGTTTTTCTCGCATTGCTACTGTTAATCTAAGACTCTTCTATCTTGTTCTTTGTTAAATTTTAAAGTGAAAAATACCTATTTTACTGAAGACTTTACAGGATATGGGTAAGAGGCTGTATGTCACATACAGCACAGTATTTCTATTTAAAAACTACACGGGACAGGTTTATTTTCTTTTTTTTTTTTTTTTTTAAAAAGATGACCAGTAAGGGGATCTTAACCCTTGACTTGGTGTTGTCAGCACCACGCTCACCCAGTGAGCTAACCGGCCATCCCTATATGGGATCCGAACCCGTGGCCTTGGTGTTATCAGCACCGCACTCTCCCGAGTGAGCCATGGGCCGGCCCGGGACAGGTTTATTTTCTCCTCAGTCTCTCTTCAGCTGTCCCCCAGCCAGGGTGCATCCAGGTATTTGGGGGCCTGAAGCTTATACAGTTTGGTAGGTCCTCTTTAAGAAAAAGAATACGAAATTAGATATGAAATAAATATTTAATGAGAATGTGAAAAGAAATGACAACGAATTTCAAAAAGCTGACAAATATCCAAACATCTCAAAGTCT